TATATACAAACCTACAACACCCTTTGTATTGGTATCATAATGTAGGCATTGCTTGGATTTACAACTGCAGTTTTGATCGGAAGCATCATGTTTTGTATCTTTACAAACTACGTGTTTTTTGTCCGTTTCAACTTTGGATATTACTTTGCAGTTTCGACATTTGATATCGAATACAGAAGCTAGACCATGTCGTTTCTCACTTATAATATCCTGCAGGGAAAGTATAGATTTACACTTTCTGCAAAACATTTGATCTCCAAGAGTTTTTACGTGTACGATTCTACGTCCTTCAACCACTTCACAATTTCCATCGTTTTCGACTTTATCCTTTTTGAGGTTATAAGTGCCTCTCTTCGTACCGTAGATATTCCTTAAGTTTTTGGCTAACTTTTGATCTAAACATCTTCGTTTGTACACCTTTTCGGTCACTCTTTTACCTCTCCAAAAAAATCTTGCTGGTTTTCCTTCAGTTTCTTCTGGTTGTTTACACTCAGACATGTTATACGCTAGCGTCTGTAACAGACTATGGCAATATATACTTTTAACGCAGTGCACCAGTGTATATTGTTTGCAACTGTTTCCAATTTATTTTCACCTCGACCTTTCTTCGTTTTCTTATCAAAGGTAATGTTTGATCACCTAACCTATATATACGTATGAGACGCGACGTTGCCAGATCTACTACTACGTGAGTTAAGCGAAAACAGTGACTCTCAGTGACTCTACACTGACTTGCAACGTAACTGTAGAACCTCCTTAAGGTTAACCACAGTCAAATTACTCACTCTCGGGTCCCCTACTATTATTATTTCAATCAGAAGTTGCCTAGAATGCAGTGATGACGGCACTGAAATCGATTATTATAATCGAAGAATCCCTCTGAGCATTCTACTTAAACGACAGCATCTGAAGTTTCACTTTCACTTCCTCCCCCGCGATTTTGAAACAGTTATCTTTCTCTGGGTGCCTATTTAAGGGATCTATATTAATTAATAGTAAATTAGCATAAGCTACAACCATGACTAACAGCATGCATTGCTTCCCCCGCTTTGTAACACTGCTAATTCGAGATGCTTCCAGCAGGCACGCCCAGGAATGGGCAGATCACGACGAGCTGGACGTCTAGTCCAGCTCCGCCGACTGGCAAAAGCGTATGAAACCCCTGGGGTCTTCGACCCCAGGATTTTCGATAGGCCCCTACAGCCTCCCAAGCCCTCGCTCCCGCCTCCTCCCCCTTATCCACAAGCGGTGAATAGGGCCAGTGTACCCCAAACCCCTGCAGGAGGCCGCACCTCAGCGGAGCAACCACCCCTTCCTCCCCGTCCACGCGCACCTGAACCTTGCCCAGTCAGGGCATGGGCGCCGCGGCCGCCGGTCACCCCAGCACCGAGGGCGGCTAAAGCAGGACTGGCAGCGGTACTTTCAACCCCGGCGCTTAGACTGGAGAAGAGGCCCCCACCGGGACAGCAGGCCCCCAAGGCTCAGCCCACTACGAAGCGGACCAAACCCTGCGTAGTGCGTATAGAGGCCCTCCCGCAGAAGGTCCGACTGGTCAGGCGCCCTAGGAAACCGCTGCTGCCCACCCAAGACATGCCCTTGCTGGTGTAGCTTCGCCATATCCCTCCTCTTATTTTTGTTTTGTCGATGCCCTTCTCTCTCTCTCCTCTGTACATAACTACCAGTGTTTTCAAATATACTTAAGTTCTCTCTACGAAATCTATCTTTATTTAGAGCGACCATACTGTACCGCTCATTTTTCCTTGTCTCCTTATGAGACACGCGTCCCCATAAAAATCGGACGTAACGAAAATAATCAGCGATACGTCGAAATTTCCGAATAACGGTCGCCTCTCTGGAGACTGCGGCACGATTTTCCCTAATCTCGGCCTGTTGCCTTGAGGGAGGAACCCGGTGGACGCGCTCGCGGGACGGCAACGTCACAGAATTCATTACTGAAATGTTTCTTGTAGTCATACTCTGGATTCATATGCATTTTCAGGCAAGTTCTCAAGCATTTGCGCTCGAAGATCCTGATTTTTTCCATCTGTGATGCGCTAATATTGTACCATACGGGACAACCATATACTATAATAGGTCTGACTAGTAATTGATAGCATATTAGTTTAATTTTTGGTTTCAAGTCTTTGGAGTAAAATAGTCTTTTATGTATTTGGAAGGCTTTCCTTGCTTTTGATAGCTGTGTATTAATGTGCGAATTAAATTTTAATTTTTCATCTAAATGTACCCCTAGGTATTTTACGCACTTCTTATGTGGAATAATATTCGAGCTATCTGAACTTTCTTTAATTTTAAATATTTTGTAATGTCTTCTAAGATCGCTGTTTGCTTTTAATAAATTTGGTCTAAATAATATAGTCTCGCATTTAGTCACATTGATTTTTAATTTCCAGGAGTGGTAGTATGAGTGGATTCTCTCAAATCTATCTTGCAATTTAGCCTGGATGATAGAAGGCCATTTGTCCGTATAGTAGATTACTAGATCATCCGCGAACGCAATTGAACATATGGGGTATTCCGCATTTGAATTGTATAGGTTCAGTATGCCGCTCGTAACTATATTAAATAGGATAGGGGAATTTACGGTACCCTGTTGTAGTCCATTTATTATCCTAAATGTAATAGTAGAACAGTCTTTCCCTGACGCAGTTGTGAATGATCTGTTTTTGATCATATTACATATTAGCTCTACTAAATAAGGAGGAAATTTTTTTTGGAGAAGTTTGAATATGAGTCCCTCATGCCACACTGAATCGAATGCTTTCTCGAGATCAATTAGGCAGGCTCCTACACATTTATTGGCATTGAGTGCCCAGTAGATATCTGAGGTAAGTTTATTAACCGCGTGTATTGTCGAGTGACGCGCTCTGAACCCGAACTGGTTTTCAGGGATTATTTCTTTTTCCCTGCAAACCTCCAGTATTGCGTCGTTTATAACCATTTCATATACTTTACTAATATTCGGCCGCAAGCTAATCGGCCGGTAGTTTGAAGGATTACTATTGTTTTTATCCTTTTTGCTTCCTCATAGAGGAAGCTTTGTTTTCATGCGAAAATTTTTTTTGGGTTTTCTATGCCAATGGGTTTAGAATGTTTAAAAAACTAAAAAAAACACATTTATTTTAAAAATGTGTGTGTGTGTGTGCGCAATAATTTTTTGCAATCTCACCTACGCATTTTTGGAGATATCCTCAAAAAAATACACTTTTTCAAAAATGTGTGTGTGTGTGTGTGTGTGTGTGCCCAAAAATTGTTCGCGCTCCCTCTTCTGCAATTTTTGAGATATCGCCCTCTACTTTGGCACATTTATTTAGTGTCATTAGGAGAGGGTTGGTATTGTATTTCACTTTAATCGGTGCAAGGGTTCAGTTTATACATACATATATATGTATAATATACATACATATATATGTATATTTACGTTGAAATTCCTGATTAAAATTTTAAATATTCAAGATATCGGGCTATTTCTAATTCTATTATTCTTTCCAGTCTTTTCTACCCCTATTTCATATATAATTGATTAATATTCAGTTTATTATTTCTGGAGTTATAGATGTTTGAAATTTCCCGGAATCCGTACATGAACACTTTTTCATTATACCGGGTGTATCAAAATTGAAGCTACAAAATGTAATGGTGAAATACATTAGTATAAGCAAAAAGTCCGAATAAACATAGGTAGAGGCCCATCTTTTTCATTATACAGGGTGTTTCAGAAGTGATGGTATACAATGTAATGAAGAAATGTACACACTTGTAGATGCAAAAAATTTCAATACACATAGTTACAGACATATATCTTGAATATGGCGATCACCGGTAAAAGGTTTTTTTAATTTTTTAATTTTTTTAAATAAATGTCTGTGGTTGGTGAAACTATCGCAAATTTTCTTTAACAATGATTTCCAAAAATTTCAAATGTCTATAACTCAAGAAATAATTAATCATATTTTAATGAATATATATTAAATTTTTGATTGAAAAAACTGAAGAACAATATAATATATAATTAGAAAAAATTAAAGTAAATTAAAGTAAAGAAAAGTGTGCAAATTAGAAATTTGCACATGGCTTCCTCATAGAGGATGGTTTAGGAGCGAAGTCGGCCGGCATCCGTCGGGGCGCGAACCGGCCGTCACCCTGTGTCTCGGGCCGTCGTCCCTCTCGGGGCGAGCGGTCTGGCATGGGGCCGGGCGGGGAGCGCTTTGGCATTGGCGGAGCTGCCGCCTCGCTGGGCGGGACGTGGTCCCGTTTCGGCGGAGCGGTGGGACCCGACCCTGGTGGCATAACCGCGCGTAGCGCGGGTCGCTGGGTGGGCGGGCAGGAGGGGAGCCTTGGTCCTGGTCGCGTAGGATGGCGAGTGGAGGTTGCTCCACCGGGGAGGCCAGGGCCGGGGCTCGGCCCCGGGGCCGCCGGAACGTATTTCCGGTTCGGGCCCGGGGTGAGAGATGACGTGTCGCCGGGGCCGCTCGGACGTATTCCGAGGCGGGGCTCGGCGGCACGGGGCCCTCCGGAGCCGCTGGGACGTTTCCCAGGCGGGATCCGGAGGGTCGCTGGCGGGGGGCTGTCGTGGTCCCGGGCAGTGTCTCGGACCCGGCAGCCTGCTCGGACGAGGGGGACTTTGGGGGTGTCACGCCCCCCATTGCACCCCGTGCCGGGGGGCCCGCGTGATAGCCCACGTGTCCTAACGTGGACTACCCCCCGGCGGTAGGCGCAGCCATGCCGGTCGCCGCGGCGGGCGGGGTGAAGGGGGGGCGGGCTACCCCCGACACTTCCGTCCGTCCGCGGGGCCTCCCCGCCTTGGCAGGCACGTGCAGGGTGTCCGCGGGGTCGGAGCCGCGGAACCCCCGAAAA